GTGTGGGGATGAATTGTCTGAGAACGTGATGGTTCAGTGGTAAGGTTGTTTATTTGATTCACTTTATTGCTGGAACCTGATTTCACTCTTCAGTGTTCAATGGCGGCCCCTTACTGGCCCTTTCATTGGACAGGCTTATGGCAACATATGAAGCATGTGGGAGGGAGCCTGGAGCGCCATCTGCTGGCTGGGAATTAGACAAATGACTGCTGTGCGATATTACAGATTTCCTGGTCTAGAAAAACCGGAAATGGTATTTTTTAAAGACTATAAATACAAAATGTTTATTTCTTTCAGGCGGCTACAGATAAAGAAGTTGCATACAGTGAGTACAATGCCAGTCACCAGTGTTATCATATCACATGGCGGGGACTGTATTGCTGGGGGGATCATGTGCATGCCGGGAGGAACTGAATATGTTTGTGAGCTCCCAGATACGGCCTCATATAAAACCGTCTATAACAGGACCAACCCGGAACCTGTTCTGTATAATGATTCCTGTTGTGTGAACAAAGAAAAGTGATCACATTGTATTGTCCTTGTCTCTACAGCTGAGTTCACGGTGCCGCCGCAGAAGCCCCCCAGGCTTGGAGCGCAGGTAAGTGCCCCACAGGACGGTCCGGTAGAGACATCTCAATTCAAGTTACTGAAAGTAACTAAAAATATTTGTAAAGTGTCAATCTAAACCCAAAAACAAAAATACAATATATTGCGGCTCCCCACTCCTTAGATATGGCGGCTGCATTAGTTTTCTTTTTTAGTCTTTTTTCCTTTTTCGCAGCTGGAGATCCTGCCAGCAACACACGTCCTGTCCTAGGGTGACAACGCTTACTCCTTGTGTCGTATCTATGGAGGAGCAGCGTTGTCACCCTTGGCTGCTCTCCTGATTTGGACTTTACATACCTCCCTCTCAAGTCCCCTCCATTGCAACGGGCCTGGGGGGCGGGTCATTTGTAGTTCACAGAAGATAACTGGGAAGGTTTATAACATTGTTTGAGATCAGGAGGTGGAAAGGATGCTTTGTCACTATGTATTTATTGCAGAAGATGTAAATTCCAAATAGGAAAGAATAGACCGCCAACGTTTGTATATACACTATATTACCAAAAGTATTGGGACTCCTTTACATGCACATGAACTTTAGTGGCATCCCAGTCTTAG